GGACCTCTCAAAGGTACTCAGGAGCAACAGTGTCTCTCTGGAAACTAAGGTACGCCTGATACAGGCCATGGTATTTACAATCACTTGTTATGCATCAGAGAGTTGGACAATGACTAGGGAGGACAGAAGGAGAGTGGATGCTTTTGAGCTGTGGTGCTGGAGAAGGGTACTGAATGTACCATGGACTGCCAGGAAAACAAACAGATTCATCTTGGAGAGGATTAAACCAAGCTACTCCTTGGAGGCAAGGATTCTGGGGCTTCGTCTGACATACTTTGGACATATTGCCAGGAGGGACGGGTCCTTGGAGAGGGACATCATGCTTGGGAGGGTGGAGGGACAGCGCAGGAGGGGAAGACCCTCTATGAGATGGATTGATTCGGTGACTGGGGTAATCGGGATGGGTGTGTCAGAGGCGGTGCGGTTGGCGCAGGATAGAGCAGGGTTTAGGTCTGTTGTGCATAGGGTCGCTATGAGTCGGAAATGACTCGACGGCACATAACAACAACAACAGATAGTATTATGCAAATGCCCCAAGTGTGAAAACTGAGGTGGTGGTGGTGGTTGTTATGTGCCGTCGAGACCCTTGTGACTCATAGCGACCCTATGTACAACATCCCTAAACCCTGCTCTATCCCTTACCAACCTTACTATCTCTAACACGCCCATCCCCATTACCCCAGTGACAGAAAACTGGGGTACAGAGAGTTAAAGTAATTGACTACAAAACGTAGATACCAGAGGAATGTCTATCTGTTTCATTGACTATGCAAAGGCTTTTGACTGTGTGGATCACAACAAACTGTAGCTGAGTCTGAGAAGAATGAGAATCCCAGAATATTTGGCTGTGCTAATGTGAAACCTATACTTGGATCAGGAGGCAGTTATCACACAGAGCAAGGAAATACTACATATTTCAAAATCAGGAAGGGTATACACCAGGGATGTGTCCTATCTCCATACTTTTTCAATCTATATGCAGAACAGATCATCCACGATGCTGGGCTGTACAAGGAGGAATGTGGCATCAGAATTGGAGGGAGATTCACCAACAATCTGCATTATGCAGATGATATAACTCTGCTTCCTGAAACTGAGGAGGACCTGAAGTGCTTGGTCCAGAAGGTCAAGGACTGCAGCCTTCAATATGGATTGAGGCTCAATATCAAGAAAACAAAGATTCTCACCACTGGGCCAGCTGGAAGCATTATAACAGATGGTGAAGAGATTGAGATTGTCAACAGCTTTAGTTCGCTTGGCTCCACAATCAACACTCTTGGTTCCAGCAGCCAGAAAATCAAAAGAGGAATTGCATTGGGAAAGTCTGCTGTCAGGGACCTCTCCAGAGTACTGAAGAGCAACGACATCAGTCTGGAGACTAAGGTGCACCTGATGCAGGCCATCATCTTCGCAATTTCTTGCTATGCATTAGAGAGCAGGACAATGACTAGGGATGACAGAGAAATGATGCCTTTGAGCTGTGGTGCTGGAGAAGAGTATAGAATATACCATGGACTGGCAGGAGCGCAAACAGGTTCGTCCTAGATAGTGAAACCAGGCTACTCCTTGGAGACAAGGATTCTGAGGCTTCGTCTGACAAACTTCGGGCCTGTTACAAGAAAGGACCAGTCCTTGGAGAGCAACATCATGCCTGGAAGGGTGGAGGGACAGAGAAATAGAGGAAGGCCCTCAATGAGATGGGTTGATTTAGTGACTGGGGTAAAAGGGTAAGGTGTGTTGGAGATAGTAAAGTTGGCACAGGATAGGGCAGGTTTCAGGGCTATTGTACATGACGGGGTTGCTATGAATCGCGAGTGACTCGACGGCACATAACAAAAACACAGCAACATCCTTATTCATTCATCCAACTCACAGATACCTAGCAGGTGACTGAAAGCACCATGGCCTGAATCAGGTGCATGTTGTTGTTGTTGTTGTTGTTGTTGTTGTTGTTGTGTTAGGAACAACACGAACCTCACGAACAATGGAACAAAGAATTACCCAGCCCTGCGTCACCTTCACAAGCGATGCTATGTCTGAGCTCATTTTTACAACCACTATGGTGAACTGGACAGAAAGTGATGGTACAAAGCCAAAAGTGGCCTGCTTTTAACTGTTTTTGGTCAAACATTCTTCTAGGTTGCATAGCACTGGTCTGTCCATTTGCTGTACAGAGATAACTTGTGGTTGCTGTGATGCTGAACACTGTGACACTGACGTGTCAAATGTAACAATGGTTACCCATGGTGGACAGCGTTTAGTAGAGCTTCTCTGATTAAAATAAGTTTGGAAGCAGGAGTGGTTTATTAACTTATCATCCCATTAAAATCTTCTCACACTACCCACAGACCCTTCTTTGCCCACATCTACTCTTTCCTAAATTATGCAGAGACGATTGTTGTTGTTGTTGTTGTTGTTGTTGTGTACTGTAGAGTCAGAACCGACCCATAGTTGATTCTCTAGTGGGTTTTCAGAAGCAGTTAATCACACAGGAGGAGACTGCCCATCTTTCTCCCATGGAGAAGCTGGTGGCCTCAAACCGTGTGCCTTCGGGATTCCAGCCCAGCTTCTTACCACTAGGCCACCAGAGCTCCCTGTGCAGAGACTAAGGTAGTCTAACACTCAGTCAATTTTTTTAATGAAAGGAAATGCTTCTGCTGTTAGGGGGCTATTCCTGAGTGTTTGCCATCTTAAGGCTGCAGGGATTCTTAGGGAGGGACTTGTGTACCCTCTCATCCACACGTGCTGCGAACGAGTGTGAGGACTTAGAAAAGGGCACACACACCCTTTGCATTGAGAAAGTGATGAGAAACAAATGCTCCAAAGTCGCATCCCCTTTGTTTCCCAGGAGACAAGCTTGTCTGCACCCTGTGTCCCGTTGGCCTCAAAGACCAACAGATGCCCACCTCCCTAAAGAAATGTAGCCCAGCACTCAAGGGGACGAGGATTTGGATCTCCTGGGGTTTGGGGTACAAGGTCAGGGGTTAGAATCCACCAGCTGCTGCTTGGCAGGAAGACGGGCAGCCTACTCCCCAAGATTTACAGCCTTGGAAACCCAAGGATCACTATGAGCTGAAATCAGAGTGACAGCAGTGGGGCTGGTTTTAGGGGCGGGAGGCACAGGAAGATCCTCTATCTCACAGACTAACAGAATCACAGAACAAGACAGGCCCCGGCAGGAGGGCGGCTTCCATGGCTCCAACTTTCTTCATTTTATTTAAAGTTGCTGTAAAAATACAGGTAACACAGCCATTGTCAATTCCATTTTACTGACGTGTGCAAATGAGTGACATCAATGACATCACATCATGTAACTATCACCAATATCCACTGCAAAACATTTCCATCCCCAAAAAGAGAAGCTTTCTGCTTCCCAAGCCACCATCTGCCTCTTCTCTCCCTCTTGCTGCTTCTGGGAACCACCATAAACCTTGGTCTCTACCTGTGGTGCTTAAGATTGCCTAAGAGTCTCTGGTTTGAATGAAGGCTGCATGGTGGGGTGTACTCGGGGAGAGGGAGGGATTGTATACCAATGAAAGAATTTTTCTTTTACTTTTCAAAGAGAAGAGTGAACTGGGTTGTGGGGGGGAGAAAAATGAAACAATGAATGAATGGAAATCTAAAATCTCTGTAAATGTTCATTAAAATTAATTAAAAAAATTAAAATTTTTTAAAAAGGTCTCTGGTTTGACAACTGCAATGAAGTCGTTCCCTCAATGAGACTTGATAAGTGCAATCATTCTTCTGGTGAGCTGTGATGTTGTCACCCCCATGGTGATGGTGGGATTGGTTATAAGCAGCCAATCCGCTGAAAGGAAACGCCATTGGAGAGACAGCTCACCCCCAATATATAAGGGAATCTGGCAAACCTCACTCGGTTCTGGGCAGTCTGAATTCTGCATTAGCTCACTGAGAGGCGTGGGGACCTGACTCCTTCCCCTGACCACAAACACTCCCCACCTCCTTCGTGTCCTTTATGCCTTGCAACCAGAACTCACACACATCACACTTCTCTCTCTCATCTCTGACAATCAAAACTGTTCCAGAAATAATTATGCTATAGAAAGACTTGCCATTGTGAAGAGTCCCCAAGCCCGCATAGCCCATACAAACCCATATATTGGGGAGCCTCCTTCCCAGCGTAAATCCTCCATCTGTATCAACCAGTGCACGTGCATTCTGGACATGCTTGTGCTGGAGGAGGTCATCCAACAACCAGCCTGCTCCTTGGAGGCAAGGATTCTGGGGCTTCGTCTGACATACTTTGGGCATGTTCCAAGGAGGGACCAGTCCTTGGAGAGGGACATGATGCTTGGGAGGATGGAGGGACAGCACAGGAGAGGAAGACCCTCTATGAGATGGACTGACTCAGTGACTGCAGTAATGGGAGTGGGGGTATCAGAGACAATGAGGTTGGCTCAAGATAGAGCAGGGTTTAAGGCTGTTGTACGTAGGATTGCTATGAATCGTAGGTGACTCACAGCACATAACAACACACCAACCCTGAACTGAGTGTTATCAAATAATAACACACCAACCCTGAACTCAACACCTCCAATTCGCAAACGTAAACCCTAACTGTTGACCATGAATTCATCAGACTCCCCAGCTACCCAAGTCAGGAGAAACCTCTCACCTGTTGATGCTGCCAGACCCAAAATAAGGGAAATCACTGTAAGCATTCATTAATGATTAGACTATATGAAGTATGAATCTAAGACAATCAGAAGTTGGCCAAAATGAAAAGGTATACTTAAAGATCAATAATATCCTGGACATTGACAAGCTGAGGAGAACGGAAAGGGACCGTTCTGAGTCGGGCAGTCTTATGATCTACTCTGCCGAGACTTGACACATTGAAAAGGATCGGTGTCACATTTGCTGTCAAAAAGAACATTTCAAGGTCTGTCCTGAAGTCCAGTGCAGTCAGTGGTCAGAATACGGCCGTGGAAGATGTGTTCATATGCCTGGTAGTCAGATGTGTTCACAACCGACCAAAGTCAAACACGAAGAAATTGAGGTTGTCTACTCACTTCTGCAGTCGGGGATGATCAAGCACACAGTCAAGATGCACTAAGAGCAATTACAATGCAAAGAAGCCGCAAAGATGGAAGGCTGAGAGTTGGAGAACACAGCGTTCAAAACAGACATGAGCTCGGAGGCCTGGGACAGCCCGTTCCACAAGCAGCCGTTTATTCCTTGCGAACACTTTTTAGGAAGCTCTGGTGGTGCCGTGGGGAAGAGCTGAGCTGCCAACCAAAGGCTGATGGTTTGAAGCCAGCAATTGCTCCCAGGAGAAAGCTGAGAAATCTCCTTCTGAGGTATTTACAGCTATGATTTGGTTTCTACTCCATGGCCGTGGAAGAGAGAGAGGACTGCTGTAAAAAAAAAAATACAAAACTGGGAAATGCGTGTTCTAGCTCTCTGCGTGCTTCGGTGAGCGAGCTACTGAGGGTCTAAGTCTGGGCAGCCGAAGAGTGTGGTAAGTAACGGTCATCAGCACAAGGGTCATTTCATCGCTGGGAAGGGGTGGCCCTCGTCCGCAGTGATGGTGGTCAGCAAGATGAACAAACATGCGCAGATGAGAGCAGCAATTAACCAAAAGTTGATAGAAACCGGAGAAAGAGAACGTCTCAAAGAACTGCTGAGAGCGAAACTAATTGAACGTGGCTGGAAGGACCAGTTGAAAGCACACTGTAAAGATAATGATTTTAAATTATTTGATTTGGTTTTTACTTTTGCATAAGAGGTCATTAAATAAAAAGGACTAGAACCCGTTACTGTTGATGACTTGGTGGCTGAAATCACTCCAAAAGGCAGAGCCCTGGTACCTCACAGTGTAAAGAAGGAACTCCTACAAAGAATAAGACCGTTCCTTGCTCAGCATGCCAGCCTTGAAGATCGCATTAGATGGTGGTGTTCTGTGGTTTTATTTCTGAACTTGAAACTTGCCATAAATTAGAAATCCGTTTCCCAAAATAAAATCCTTTTTTTGTATGATGGTATACAGTTTTCAGCAATGATGTTTACATTATATTGATTTTTTTCCCCTAAATGTGTTATTTTAATAAATATCTCATGAATTTAAAAAAATACAAAACCATAACTGGCAACTATACACATAGACCTCGCCCGACGGGAGACACAGGAGTCAAGCTGACACCATCTTTAGAGAGAAACGTAGACTTCCAGAAGAGCAAACAAATCTGTGTTAGGGGAAGTACAGGTAGGGGGTTCCTTAAGAGCAAGGCCTGTGAGACTTCATCTCATGTACTTGGAGCGAGTTCTAAGGAGGGGCCAGCCCATAGGAAAAGATATCACACTTGAGAAAGTATGGGGTCAAAAACGGAGAAGATGCTTAATGAGATGGACAGGCCCAGCGACCACGACAATGGGCCTCAGCCCCGAGGAGATTGGGAGCCTGGGGCAGGAGCAGGCCGGTTCTGTTCTGTTGTACACAAGGTGACTGTGAGTCGGATCAGAGTCGAGACCAAACCTTAAACCAGAGGCATCTGCGTACCTGTGGCTGCTGGCAGAACAGCGGTCAGAACGCCAGACAGCTTTGTCCAGTGTCTGTCCTGGCCCAGCCATTCCACTGGAGCTGTCACTAGTCGTAACAGTCCTCATCCTGCCCAGAGGTGCCTGACCACGAGAACTGGAGGGGTGAGTGGAGAGGCTGGCCCTCTCAGCATAAGGCATGAGCTCCCTGCTGACGTTGGAACAGAAACAGCACACATCAGAGGCCGTACGAGAGGGCGCTGACCCTCAGCTAGGGAGCCGTGGGGCTGCAGTGAGTTCAAATTCACCACACGCTCAGCAGGAGAATGATGGGAAGACTCTCCACAAAGATTTACCACCTCAGAAGCCAGAGGGAGGATGCTGTTAGAATCAGCTTGAGAGCAGTGGGTCCCTGCACCCCACGTGTTATGGACACGTGCCTGTAAGTCCTCACAACCACCCAGCAGAAGGTAGATCAGTAATCCTATTTCACCATGGAGTCGGCAACCCGGAGACAGAAGAGAGCTTACTGAAGTTTCCATGATAATTAAGAACAGGCTGGGATCCCAGGTCCTAAACCAGAGCACGCTGGCCTCTGCCCTGGGATGGTGTGACCTCTCACCACACGTGTCCACATCCTGACATACACTCTTGACCCAGCAGAGCCGTCCACCAAGTCCACTTGGGATGAAATGACTCATGTATTCCCTCACATCAGATTAAAGCTGTGATGGATTAAGGAGAGCTGCATTCCACCTTTAAACCTTTTCCAAATATTTGGTTTATCAGATGATGGGGAATCATTGTCTCGCTTCCACGTTGTATTCTTACATGTATGTATTTTGGGGGGACACAAGTTAGCCCATGTTCCTTATGAATGGCATCAACCGGACTAATTAAGTCTGGGAATTAATGGTGGAGGCTCCAGGGTGCCCACCAGCTCTCTAGCTGTGAGTGCCTGGAGTTGTTGGAGGGGCCCCTGCCTGGGCAGGTGGTCTCATAGAAAGCCAGAGCATTAAGAGAGAAAAGACAGGGGCCTTCCGCGATGTGGAAAGGTGGTAGGTACAGTGCGCTACCTCCCCTCCCACAGCCCAGCTGCTGTTCTACACGCACGTGTCCCATGAGAGGAAAAAACCTCTCTAACAGCATGTGCTCCTTTACTCAGAAAAATATCATCGCTCAAGGCAACAACATCAATTTGCTATGGTTTTTAGGAAGCAGAGTTGAAGACTAGAAAGTTGCTGTCAGATCAATCCCATCCCTGAAGCCTGAAGGTTTTGCAGTGAATTTTGCAAATCGATGAGAAGGCAGCGGAGTTTAAACCATGAAGACGCAGAGACTCAGCATCCGAGCTGAGAGGCAGGGGCCTCGGCTAATAGGCAGCGTGCCTGAGTCTGCAGGGGCCCCCACCTGCCTCCTTGATTTCCACTGTGTCGTTTGACCCCGCTTTCTGAGACAAGAAAACAGTCACCAAAAAAAGAAAGGAAACAGTCACCCCAGGCTTTCTGGCACGTGACCAACAGCAACAAACCTGCCTTGTTCTAAACACACTAAATAATTGATTGAAGGCCTGTCTTCTTCTCCTTCCCCTAGAAGTCAAGACCCTCTCACTCACTGTTCAATGTCTAATGAGAATTCTGAGGGCCTAGTGGAAAGGAGTCGCCCAGTAGAGGGGAGTCAGCCATAACCCTGCCTTGGGGAGGCTGCCAGGACCCCCCTGAGGAAGGCAGCTTTGAAAGAAGAGTCCTTCTTGACACGCAGGGGTGAAGGTGAAGCTTTGCACAGAGTTCTCCTGCTCAGAGGGCCCACGGTGGCTGCTGTGTGGCCGGAACACGGAGAAAAGAGACAGAAGTGCTTTTACAGGGGTGTATTTTGTGACTGGGGTGGGGGGAATCCTGCTGGTCTTGATGGAGGCACTTACCGCTGTTGTCCACATGTTAAACCGGACGTAACTCTGATTCTCGTCAGAATCATTGGAGGCTGCAGAGCTTGGTGTGCAGCTATTAACGGGAAGGTCAGTGTTTCAAACAGACTCACCAGCACTGTGGGAAAAGGCCCTGAGGACCTACTGTCAGACTCACAACCACCCAACACCCCGGGAAGGGCCACGCTATCCAGACACACAGTGGCCACGACTGACTCAGGAGCGCCTGGACGGGCTCGGGTTTGGCTCAGGGATTCCGAGCACGTCGAGAGCTGGGATAGTCTTCTAACATAATCAAACCCACCCACCACGCTTTGCATGGCTTAGGAAGCGTAGGAACAGAGAGAGTGAGCCACTGCTAAGAAGTCACATAGCCATTAGGTTGGAGCCTATCATCTTGAGTTTGTGGTTACAAACGGAAGGTTTATAAGGCCAGACACGTGTAACTGTGGCAGGTGAGGTCACCAAGCCAAAGTGGACACAAAAACATGTGTTTCAAAATGTAAGCCGTGACATTTCCAAGTGTGGTGGTGGTGTTATTGTTGTTGTTAGGCGCCATCTGATTTACTAGGCCTCACAGAAACTCCAAAAACAACAGACCTGCACCTTGCCCTGGCCTGTGCCATCCCCACAATTTCTGAGAGGCTCGAGACCATGGCTGCTGTCACCGTGTTCACAATCGTTCTCTCTCTGCCCCTCCACCTCTCTCAGCTTGATGTCCTCTCCAAGAACTCGCCCTTCTGATGACCAATCCAGAGTATGTGAAGCGAAGTTTCACCGTGCTTATCTTAGACTCTAGTCGTAGAAGGTTTTATGGCATCTATAGGCTTTTCTGTATTTTCCAAAATGCTCTACAAGAAAAAGGCATCGCCTCTGCAGCTAAAACAAGATGCATATTTGTAAGGGGGCGGGGGATAGATTTTTCTAGCACTTTAGTTACAGAGTCTTTGGTTGTGGCTCACAGCAGACCTGCCACAAAGTGGATTTGATGTAACGGGAAAATCGCTAGGAGCCGGCTTGCCAAGAAGAAAGGGGAGGCAGCGATAGGAGATTTGGGGGGTGCATTTATTTCACCAGGCGCTTTGTAGCTTTACTTTTCTAAAGATAAATCCTTTGGCTTCTGGCTGACTTCTTTCTGAACTAAGATGTTTTAAGGACTCTTCAGATGAAACGTTTATATAGTTCCTTTCAAGAAAGTGGGAAAACAGTGGCTGTGATATCTGCATGCTCCAAAGGAAAGCTGATCATAAATCTTAGAAAACATTCCTTTTCAAAATCTACACCTGGTGGTACAGTCTACATAGTCAGAGATGCCCAGGGAAGCTGCAGGTGGAGGAGTCCACAGCCTGCACCATTTATTTCTTTTCTGAAGAAAATAAAAATGAAACGAAAGGGTGGAGAGAAAAGAGGTTAGAAGTTGGCCAAAATAGATGTCTACTCATCAAAGATTAGATAAACTACTAACTCAAGGTCCTGTTAGAACTGTTGGTTAGGATTGTAAAATGGTACAATCACTCTGGAAGGCAATTTGGCATTTCCTCAGAAAGCTGAACCTAGAAATTCCATGTGAACCAGCTATTCCACTGCTTGGAATATATTCTGAGAAAATGAGAACTAAGCACAAATGGAAATTTGTACACTGATTTTCATAACAG